TCGCTCTCTCCCTCGCTCTCTTTCCCGCATCTCTCACTCTCACTCTCACGCTCACTTCAATCAAATAGCTAATAGGAGGGGGAGCGTTGTTAAGCTTCCAATTTACCCATGTTACTTTGTTGGCCTGCATAGGTTGTGTAAGTTGCAGACTGATGCAACCTGTCTACATCAGTAGCTTTGATGACTGCTAATCATTAAAATATTGGTTGATGCCATTAATTAATATCAATAATGACTATCTCATCAAGATGCATTGTAGTTTAGATGAATGCATGCACAGATCAAAGACATGCAAGCAATACAGATTTCAATTTCAGTCAATACAGTAAATCACTTTCATTTATAACTATGCCATCTTCATCATTCTCATTTGATAAATTTCTATGAAATTCAAATTTTCCTATTCACGTTGCAACCTAAACAGCATTGTAAAGAGTCATATATAGCAATTCTCATAATGTGCTAAATTCTTACTAGAGTTCAAAGATCCATTGGTCCTATTTAAATAATCGCTAATTTTTACGATTATAGTTAAACAAAAACATAGACTAGCTAGAACGTTTTTTAAACTGGTTTTATTATTATGTTTTGTACATAGATGGGATAAATCTGAATGAGTGGAACTTTTAGCTCGTACATACACCTAATAAATGTCTACTATAACGGTATATTGGTTTTAAACATTGAAAAGCTTTATACACACAGTTGAACACATAGTTAATGAGTTTAAACTAGATTTTACAACACGCACAACTATGTGACAGACATTGTGTAAATACTGACATTGAACAGCAATTGGAGAGAAGCCACCATGCCGATGTTTTTTCTTTGCACGTGATTTGCACGTTTTTGCACGTTTTTCCCTGCACGCAATGAGAAACAACAAAATCATTTAAAAAACACGTTAACAAACCAAGGTGATGGGCGACTCAACAACAAAACTTTTGACGCAGTTCAAAGGTCAGTAGAGACTCACCTGAATGCCGCCACCAGGGTTGAATATATTGAGTCTCCATCGTACACGTACAGGTGGTCCCAGCCACACTCCGTAGCGAACGCGTCGAGGCGGAATCTCAGCGTTACGTTGTTCAGACCCGTGTCGATCACCCACGCACACTTCGTGTCTATGGAGTAGTTACCAGCACCGTCTGTGATCACACCTGCCTCGCTGGAGTTTAACCTGCAGTACAGAACAAGATCCCACGTAAGGGTGGATAGTACAGTAATAGTGGGGGGTGCGACGATTCATCGATACATCAACACCCGTCGATATATTACACGATACAAACCTCGACGATACACATATCGATATGTTTGACCATTCATGATACATGTGTCGATACGTTTGACCATGCATTCATGATACACGTATCAATACGTTCGGCCATTCACAATACACGTATCAATACGTTCGGCCATTTACAATACATGTGTCGATACGTTCGGCCATTCACGATACACGTATCAATACGTTCGGCCATTCACAATACACGTATCGATACGTTTGACCATTCATGATACACGTATCGATACGTTTGGCCATTCACGATACACGTATCAATACGTTCGGCCATTCACAATACATGTGTCGATACGTTCGGCCATTCACGATACACGTATCAATACGTTCGGCCATTCACAATACACGTATCAATACGTTCTGCCATTCACAATACATGTGTCGATACGTTCGGCCATTCACGATACACATATCAATACGTTCGGCCATTCACAATACACGTATCAATACGTTCGGCCATTCACGATACATGTGTCGATACGTTCGGCCATTCACGATACACGTATCAATACGTTCGGCCATTCACAATACACGTATCAATACGTT